GTGGCAAATATTGGGAGACAAGGAATTCTTGTCTTTTATCTATGGAAAGCAGAAATGGGAGTTACCACCTAATATTTTAGTGATTAAGAACCCTAATTGGTCTCAGAGATCAGGTGCGGGAGCTGATTGTGTAAAGAAAAGGTATTAACACCCCAAATACATCCTACCTAAGGTAGGTTATATTGTTTAATTATCTGATAAAATCTAAGCTCTTGTCGTGTTTTCTAATTAATGGTTCGTCTGTTGTTTAAGAAAAGTTCTTCATAAAGAGATTTTTATCTTATCGGGTAAAACTTAATCGTTCTAACATCAAAAAAAAAATTTAATATTCGGAATACATCTTACATATAAGGTCATAATCTCATATATTCAACAAAAACAAAATAACTTTTTTATAATTTTTGAAATATTGGCCTAGTTCTCGCGACTTTAATAAATTGGTTATTAAAGCCAAAATGCATGCTAATATATATTTTTGAATTTTTCTTTATTATATGAAATTACAATATGATTTTTTTCTTTTATTTTTGAGAGACTTGGTCGTATGCATAAAAATATATTTTTTATTTTTTCAATGTTTTGATGAAAACCGAGCATCTTAATACTAGATTTGTATCTTTATGATATAAAAATACAAATCAATATTAAGCAAAATTTAGTAGAGAAATATGCTAAAAATCATAAATTTTCTGAAATGTTTTTGTATATATATATATATATATTTGGAACTATTTTAACGTGGGCAGGCCCGGCCTGACTATGCGAGATAGGCCGAAATTGGCCAGGCCATGAACAGTGGAGAGTGAATTATAATTCACTCTCTACTGTTCCTTAGCCGAACAATGGAGACCAAGGTAAAGAAGAAAAAGAAAAGGAAAGGGAAGGGGAAAGGAGGAAGGCTGACCTACTGAAGCTCACGGTGATGCTGGTGGTGGTGGAGAGGAAGCTGACGATGGTTCATGGTGGTTATGATAGTGGCGGGCAGTGTTAATTGTAATTTTTCTTCTTCTTCCCCATGGAGAGGCACCAACCTCTGTTTTTTTCCTTCCTCGTCAGCTGCTGTTTCGTTCTTCTCATTTTGGTCTCTGGTGGGGGAGGAGCTGCTGGTGGCTTTCAAACGATACAGTGGAGGTTATTGAGATGTAGAGTTATTGTGAAGGCGATGGTGGTTCTTCTTCTCTCCTCTGCTTCGCTGTGCTGTTTTCTTCCTCTATTTTTTTTTTGTTCCCTCTGTCAACAATGTTCTTCCCTCTCTACAGCGGCTTCGTAGAGGTGCTGGTGGCAGCGGCCTGGGAAGCTAATTCTGGTCAATTAACGATTTTTTTTCCTCTTCTCAGCATGTTTTTCTGTTATCTTTCTCCTGTCTATTTTTGTTTTCTTTTCCTCACCTTTGTTTGGTTGCTTCACTTTGCTATGAGATGGTTGTAATGGCCGACCTCCTCTTTTCTGTTCCTTTGCTTCTTCTTTTTTGTCTGTGTTTTGTTTGTCTGTCAAAACTTCTCCCCTCTGTTTTCTTTTTAATTCTTGCCCTTCTCTATCTTGTGTCTTCTTTCTCTTCTACTTCCCTTCCTTTTTCTTTCATATTGTTCCCTCTCTCTCTCTCTCACCCTTTTCTCTCTTTGTTTTCTCCTCACTGTCTCATTCTCCCTCCAGTGTTTCTGCACCCCCATGTTTCATTGTCTTTCTCTACCTTTTATAAGCCAAAAAATACCCTGCGGTGCAACGTTCAGCTTGGTAACGGCATGTAAAGCAATCGTAGCCATGAAACATTCCCCGTAACTGAAGCAATCTGGTGCTTTTATTGCTGAAACGACTCCACTATTTGCTAAAACGACTTTGAAGAAAGGTGATGAAATATTGCTCTGAAAAAGCACTGTCTTCCTATGAAAATGGATATTTCTGATTTGGTCCTTGGATGTTTTTATAACTTTGTAATCAAGCCCCCCCAAATAAATTATAATTGGATCCCTTGATTTTAGTGCCTTTTCTGGTTTGATTCTTGGTTTCGGATTGTTTCAATCAAGTCTCTAATTAGCCATCAAACTTCAATAATTATGCAATTAAGCCTCTGATTTGATCAAATCAAATCTTTAAAATTATAATTGGACCTTGTAACTTTAATTTCATCCAATAAAAGCCTAAATTGACTTAAAAATCTATTTTTCTTGCAATCAAACCCTCCATAAATTTAATAAAACCTTAGATAAAATTTAATTGAGTCCATAAACATCTGATTTTAGACTTTTTTTTCCTCAAATTGAATTTTTCTTGTTAACACTTAACAAAGCTCTTATCAGTAAAAAATATACTGTCAAATTTCACCTTTTTGGATTTTTAAACCTTCTCAACCAATTTTGGTTTTTTTTCGGTATTCTAACATCTTTTTCTTGCTCCTATTATTTTTTGAATTTCTTTAGAATAATATATATTGTATTTTTTTATGAGAACTAAAAAATAGGTAACAACAACAATAAAGAGAGAGCAAGAACAAGATCTTGATATGAAAATCAAGATATCTAATTACATGGCAAATGCCTCCTTTTATATGTCAAAATTAAAAACTATTAATTTGATGACTAATTGTTGAGCAGATAGCCAACTCTTGATTTGGTGATAGTCCTTATATTCTTGTTTGCCAAAAACATCATTGCTAATGTCAAAATTCAAACAAAATTAAATTATGAAAGTTCTAAAAAAATTTCTCAGCTTTCTAACAAAAATTTTTTAGGTCATTTGGACTTCCAGAACTCAAGATATGGGTTGAAAACTGAACAGTGTCTAGGCTATAGGACTGATTCGGATTTCTCTATTGTTGCTAAGATTTGGACTTCCAATTAGCAGAAGTGAGTCTTGCCTTCCCATGAATGTTTTAGACCTATATTTTAACTTTCTAGCCTTATAAGACAAATTAAAATTCAAGATCTACAGCTCCAAATATGACTCAATGACTGAACAGTGTTCCAATTTGGACTAAATCAATATCACTTTTCTAAGCTTCATCCTCTCTTTGTCTTCTCAATTTCAGTAATTGAACTCATCAATCAATCTTTTGATTTATGTGATAGGGTTGTATTTAAGATGAACATTTATTATAAATTAAAGGTATCTTATAGTATCAAACTTATTATTATAAAACATGTTTTAGTTAAAGAGTTATTGATACTTCAAGTGTAAAATGCTAATATAAAACCTTAATCAAAATGTATTTTTAAATACTAATCATAAAGTAATTGTGGATGTTGTCATTGAACTAGTAATGGATTTGTGCGGCTCTCAAATAGAAGTCCCTCAACAAATAATTCCATGGCCATCCCATGATATAGATTGTGTACAAATTGTTAATATCTCAATTATACTAAATCAATGTCGATTGGCTAATGAGACATTTAAATATCTCTACCTAAAACCAAGGGCGGATAGCCAGTAATTTTTCTAGTCCTGTATTATTAAATAAATATATAAATTTTTTTAAGATTAATTATTACTTATATACATGAAGTTTGAACTTAATAGTAAAGTTTTAATTCAAATACACTACTTAAACTATTAAAAAATAAATTTAAAAGTACATAAAATTAAAGTAAAAATAAAAGTAAAAATAAATTCACCATTGAAGTTATATCCTTTGATGTTTTATGAAATATAATTTATTTATAACCAAAAATAAATCAATATTGTATCAACCCTTCAACTGAGATAAAATAATAATCTCATGTCAACTGGAAAACAAAGTAATTAAATTTTTTTCCTCTCTCAGTTCCTCCTTCCTTCACTTGATTCTTTCTTAAATTAGTATTTTATAAGTTAGACTTTGTAAGTTTATGAGGTTATTTTTTATTTTTTAAAATTTTTTTCTTGAATTTTTTTATGTTTTTCCCTTACTTTTCTTGTTTTCTCTCTCGCCTTTTCTTTTCTTTCTTTTTCCATTCTGCTTCTGCATAGTCAACAATATATAAAAAGAAGGAAGAACTGATTTTTTTTTTATTTTTTAATAGCAAATAATTATTTTACCTTAATGAGTCGTTTTGCTTGTGTTTAATGGTTTTTTTTGTTAGCATTGTCAAGCTCTGTTTATCCTAAAATTTTAATTATATTTTATTCAATATATTTTAAAATCCCTCATAAAATTTCAACTCAATTTGATAGTCGGATTAAAAATTATGTTCAATAACATAAAACTGGTTAAATTATAATTTTTCATTAAATTTTTTAACTTCTCCAAAAATTCTAAAATTTTAATTCAAGCTAAAGGATCATATTAAAAGACTTCACACAAATTTTTAATAATTTAATTGAGAATTATAAATTTTTTTATGTAAAACTAATTTAAAATATTGATAAAATATTAACCTAGAATATAACACACTCAAGCCTTTAACATACCTCCGCACCTGCCTACAGCTATTGCTAACAAAAAAAAAAATACTCGTCGTTGTATCTTAGTAATTTTTATGTATATCCCACCATTTCTTGCTAGTTTTTGTTTTTCCCTTTACCTTTTCTTACCGGTTCCCAAGACCTAAATAGTGATAAGAGAAAGCTATTAAACCTTGCACGAGTAAGGTAAGCAAGTAAACTTGGAACTCAACTATCAATAGTCAAGTAATAAGGAATGAATTTAAAAAAGAAAGAATATTTTTTATTCAAATAGTATGACTTGCATTTCTCAGCCCGCAAAAGAACTTTGAATTAACAAGCTCTTTTTCATGGTTGGGTTCTTGACCGTGTCTGTCCACATGCGGGTCGTATTCAGGACCATTTTCATGATATATATAAGAAAGTATGAAAATAAGGCGATTTTTACTGATTCAACACAATCTAATTAGAACAAATTAAAGAACCACTCCATCAAAGCGAAGCTTCATTTCATTTATATATTTTAGCATTGCACACAAGTACGATGTAACAGAGGCCGCAGCCGTCTTTATTCATATATATTGAAGTAACGTAATTGTTATTGGGCAACAATAACTTGTTGCCTTCAATTTGAGCAGGATTAATCATGGTACTAGATACCACATCTGGTTGTCTCCACCATTGGATTGCCAAAGAAATATTTGTTGAGGGACTTCTGTTTGACCTTCGCGCAAATCCATTACCAGGTCTTTAGAAGCACTGGCAGTATTAATAATGGCATAATCAGAGGACCTATATCTCCAAAATATATAATCAGACGAACTGAAGTTGCATGGGAGAACGAGAATGTCGCTTCCTTGGGTTAGGTCATTACAAGTGAGGCACATGCTAAGGTTTGTCTCTGTCCGCAAAGTACCATCTGTATGGAACTCCCATTTTTGCTCTTTTGTGTCGGCCTTGCAATCCACTAGCTGGGGCACGAATCTGTTCACTGAAACGCAGAGTTTACTGCCTGCCCCGACGATGGAAAACGGCTTTGAATCATTGATAGCCTTCCTACCTTCTTCGGAGGCATGCAGTGGAACTATAGGCTCGGCATGAGTATAAACGCCAGCATCGTTTGCCACGACATGGTGATCGTGAATTGCCACTAACAAAACCCATAGTGCCAAAATCCAAACTTTCATGTTTCCTTCCATTATGGATCGTGGGAATTTCCAAATCTCACCTGTCAAAACAGATGAAGAGTGTCAAATCTTAAATTATCAACCTTGCAAAAGTCTCCAGCCCACTAGAGCAAGCACAGTTAAAAGTTAACACATTGAATCACGTTTTGCTTTGATATCCCAAATGTTCTTCATTAGCAATTGATTTTAGAGCTGAATAGCAGCAGAAGTAGGCATGAATCAATTCACACTTGCTTCCAAGCCTAGCTAAAGGGAACTAATTATCAAATAAATATTCCATATGTTTTATGAAATGTCATATATTCTTAGATGCATGAAGAAAAAGTGAAGTGTGCTTGCGTAAAATGATAAATAAGTTAACCTTCAATTGAAATAAGGGGAATAAACTGCTGATAACCTGTGAGGATGACTGTGATTGAGAAGATTAAGAAGAAAGCTAGAGTGCTTGTGGTTTTTTGGAGCATAACCTGCCTTGCTTTTATAAGGGTTCTTGGCTGTACGTATGTCCCCAATCACTTGAATATATTAATTAAGAAGATCACTACCAAGGGTTATAAGTAATTTTTAATGAAATGTTATATATATCCAATGACTCGGTATTCATATATAAGCTAGAGGACTGAACATATCAATGTGCGGAATCTTATATTTATGAAGATGAGGAAGAGAGAAAGACCACTTCTAAGGATCAAAGTAAAAAGTAATCATAGAGCCATTAAACCAGGTGCACGCTCCTATGTATCTGTGTCCATATCACACACCTGGTTTACTTCTTCTTTTTTTAATTATTATTATCACCACCAATGAAATTCCACTAACTTCAAGATAATTTAAATTTTTAAAATAAATTATTTTTTTAGATGTATGAGAGTTTTGATAACCAAGTAGTCATATAAATTTGAATTTCATCATTCTTATTTATTTGATCAAAATTAAACATAAAATAATATATACATTTACAAATCTCAAGATAATATAAATTATATTTTAAAATTCTATTTAATAATTTAAATTTTTAAAATGAATTAATTTTTTTAGATATATGAGAGTTTTAATAACTAAGTAGTCATATAAGTATGAATTTCATCATTCTTATTTATTTAATCAAAATTAAACACAAGATAATATATACATTTACAAATCTTAAATTTAAAAAGCTTTCATTTAAGAAAATATATTAAAAAATAATATAAATTTTATATTAAAGCTTTACCTAATAATTAAAAATTTTAAATCACTATGATTCTTTAACACAATCACGTTTTAGATATAAACTAGTTGATATGCCCGCGTGTTGCCGCAAGCTTATGACATGCTGTTATGGATCTATAAAAAAATTATATGAAGAAATATTATTGCAATCTATAATATTTTCAAGAAAAAATAAACTAAAAAATTAAATTCTTAACTAGTTTAATATTAAAAAATAAAATAGACAAATAATTTTTAAAAAATCATAAAAAAACAAAAGGAAAAAAATCATGTAGGAAACACTGCAGTAATCTATAATGTTTTGTGAGAAAATATATAATTGTAATTCTCAATCAACTCAATATTAAAAAAATAAAATTAATAAAGATAATTTTTAAAAAAATCATAAAAAAACAAAAGGAAAAAAATATGCAGGAAAATATTTTAGCAATCTATAGTGTTTCATGATAAATGAGAAAATTTACCATTGTAATTTTCAACTAGTTCAATATTAAAAATAATAAAATCTATAAAGATAATTTTAAAAAATATTATAACAAAAAAAATCATGTGGGGAAACACTTTAGCAATCAACAATGTTTTTTTTTGAAGAAAAAATTACAAAGCTAAATTATCAACCAGCTCAATATGAAAAAAAAAAAAACTAAAATTGACAAAGATAATTCTGGAAAAAAATTAAAAAAAAAAAGAAAAAAATCATATGAAGAAACACTGTAGCAATTAACGGTGTTTTTTAAAAAAAAACTACGAGACTAAATTCTCAACCAACTCAATATTAAAAAAATAAAATTGATAAAAATAATTCTAAAAAAACAAAAAAAAAAGATAATTTTGGGGGAAAAAACAAAAAAAATAAAGAAAAAAACATGTAGGGAAAGTTAAAGCTAAATTCTCAACCGACTCAATATTAAAAAAAATAAATTCAACAAATATAATTTTGAAAAAAAATATGGAGAAATATTATACCAAAACAAAAATCATGTGGAGAAAATATTGTAGCAATGTACAATTTTTTTTTTATAAAAACACTACGAAGCTAAATTCTTAACCAACTCAATATAACAAAAATAAAAAAGAATCATTTTGAAGAAAAAATCATAAAAAAAAAATGAAAAAATCATATAAGAAAACATTGTAGCAATCCATAATATTTTTTCTAAAATGATTTTTTTAGAAAAAAATCAGTAAAAATAATTTCAAAAAACAAATACAATTTTTTTTAAAAAAAGAAAAAAGTCAATAATGAGAAAATAAAAAAAAAACATATAAAAATAAAAATATTAATATGATAAAAATAAAATATTAATATTTTCTCCACACCTTATAGAGTACTGTTGATATTTCATCGTATATTGTTTGTTTAAGCAATGAAAATGCTAGCTGTATAATTAATAATCCGCTCAGCATCAGCTTTTGCTGTTCAAATAATAATCCTGCAGGCAAATTGATAGTAATGTTATTCAGTGAAGTTAAACTATACATGTTCAACCTACACACATAAGTAATCATAATTGGTGCTGTTTTTTTAATATTAATACGTAAAAGCCAATATAGACTATGGATTCAAGATAGACTCTCCCCCC